ATTTCTATTTACATTGCACTGTGGTCCAATAGCACGCTTGGTTAATTCTGAGGCTTTTTTTTTTTTTTTTTTTGGGGAAGAGGGGTTTTGCTTTTTTTACCCAGGCTGGAGTGCAATGGCGCGATCTCGGCTCACTGCAACCTCCGCCTCCTGGGTTCAAGCAGTTCTCCTGCCTCAGCCTCCTGAGTAGCTGGGACTACAGGCACGCGCCACCATGCCCAGCTAATTTTTTGTAGTTTTAGTAGAGACGGGGTTTCACCGTGTTGACCAGGATGGTCTCGATCTCTTGACCTCGTGATCCACCCGCCTCGGCCTCCCAAAGTGCTGGGATTACAGGCTTGAGCCACCGCACCCGGCCTTTTTTTTTTTTTTTTTTAATGTATTGAGACATGCTTTATGGTTGAGCATGTGACTGATCTTAGAGTATGTTGTATTAGGGTTCTCTAGAAGGACAGGACTAATAGGATACATGTATATATGAAAGGGAGTTTGTTAAGGAGTATTGACTCACACAATCAAAAGGTGAGTCCCATAATAGGCCATCTGCAAGCTGAGGAACAACAAAGCCTGTCTGAGTCTCAAAGCCTCAAAAGCAGGAAAGCCAACAGTGTAGCCTTCAGTCTGTGGCTGAAGGCCCAAGAGCCCCTGGAAATCACTGGTGTAGGTCCAAGAGTCCAAAAGCTGAAGAACTTTGAGTCCAATGTTTGAGGGCAGGAAGCATCCAGCCCAGAAGAATGATTGAAACCAGAAGACTTAGCCAGGCTAGTCTTTCCACATTCCTCTGCCTCATTTTATCCTAACTGTGCTGGCATCTGATTAGATGGTGCCGACCCAGATTGAGAGTGGGTCTACCTTTCCCAGTCCACTGACTCAGATGTTAAGCTCCTTTGACAACATTCTCACAGACATACCCAGGAACAATACTTGGCATCCTTCAAGCCAGTCAAGTTGACACTTAATATTAACCATCACATATGTTTTTTCTGTGTGAAGATGAGATTTTCTGGCCGTTGGGTGGAGTATTCTATAGATGTCTCCTACATCCAATTGGTCAAGTGTTGAATTTAATTGTTAGATTTCTTCTCCCTCAAATCACTGGCGTCACATCCACATTTTCTTAGTTCCAAGGGAGACCCTAGTGGGCTGAGCTCCTTGCTTACTTAGAGGTGATATGAACTGAAAGTTAGGTTACCAGGGAATCCACAGCACTCTGGATGCACACTTGTCCTCTGTCCTTAGCAGAGCCATTCTGGGTTGTGAGGTATGTCTGAAGGTGGTCTGATATTGCAGATCAAGGGCAGGGGATATTCAGGCAGGGTGGCATTGCAACGGGTGGGCAGAAGGTGTGGAGCCCATAGCCCAGGTTTTTTTGCCCCACAGATACGTGTGGGGATTGACCAGTTTACTCTTCCTCAGTCAGGATTCCTTCCAGTTGCTCTCTTAGTAGCTGGCCCCACCATCTAGTTTTGTCCTAAGCCTTCTGTTCCAAGATCAGTGACTTTTAGGTGTTCTGGGCCATGGGGCTCCCTTGGAAAGAGGCTGCAGCTGACAGGGCATGCTCATCTTGGATGGTCACTGTACACAGAGGCCCTCAGCTCCCAGGCCTGTCCATAAACCTCTGTCTCAGTCTTTTTAGTGCTCTAAGAGTGGAGGTTTTTCTTCCACTCGAGTGCCAGCCACAGATCTCAGCTTAGTACTCCTGAGCTGTGTGCTTTAACCCTGTGGGGGTTGGTCCCAGGCCTGCTGCTTTGTCTTACAGTCTCTTGGTGTTGAGTATCAGCTATGGTGGGAGGTCCAAAGTGCTTCCAGGTCTTCAGCAAAGCAAAGCACTCAAGCAGAGCCAACAAGAAAGCACATAAGCTGGGCAGTGAAGGCTGTGCTGTGTGCATACTCTTGTAAAAGTGGCCAGGCAGGGGTCTTGGAAAGGGCTGGTGGCCAGTGGAGTGCATATGCACTCTGGTCACACAGGAAAGACAGCCATGCTGTCTCCTGCCAAGTAGGTAGCAGGAGTTAGAACCTCTCAGAGGAAAATAGAGAGCCTTGGGAGATGAGCACTTATGACCACATTTTGGTGCAACTGGCTCATGTGGAAAACCTCTTAGATTCCCCCGCATTTGTTCTCTATCTCTACTCTACTCTCCAGGCAGATTGCCGTACCAATTCAAATGTCTATGCAGATCATGGTATCTCTTGTAGCTAGAATCCCAGATGTCTACAGCAAGAGTGAGTTGTCCACAGTTCACTCTCTCCTTAGGAGTTGTGCAAGTTTGTGCAAGGTTCTCAGCTTCCTCTGTCTTTGGTCTCAGCATCTATACCATCTCTCTGTCAACATCTAGCAATGTTTTTTTCTCAAAAGATCTACTCGAAGTATTTTGGTTTACTTGTTTACTTGTTATTTTGGTTGCTCTCAGTGGGAGGGGAGCTTTCTAGCTGCATCTAGTCAGCCATCCTCTCTGTCATTCAAAAGAATAACAATTCTTGACGGTTTTGTGGCAGAGCTTGTAGCTCTAATTTGGATATTGATAGTTATCTAATATATATATATGTATTATAAAATATAGTACTATATAACGTCATATATGTCATGTAATATATAGTTGCATACATATTATAATTAATTTCATTTTATATTGAATTAGTAAATATATGCAAAGTGCTTAGAGGTATTTGTAGCATATAGTAAATTTGACAGATGGATTAACTATTGAGTATTCTACTTCTATTTTATATTTAATACACCAAAAAAAAAGATTTATGACTCTCCCCTATATATGTAATTTCTTATTTTTTAAAATGTATTATTTTATACTGCTTCTCCAAATCTGAATCTCAAATTTGTTTTCCTCTCTCTCTGTCTCTCTCTCTCTCTCTTGCTCTCTCTCTGTCTCTCATTTATATCTATTCAGGCAACAGTACTTCATATTCTTACTTTTCAGATTGTCTTTATACTTTTCCCTAATATTTAGAACACTTCACTGGGGCTACAATTAATCTACACTTCTATAGTTTCTCCATATTGTACATTACTGCTATATTACTCTTAAAATATTTTCTCTTCTGCTACCTGCCTGTTTAAGATTTAAAGTGGAATACTATAATCTAATGAATTAATTCCAAAATTTTTTTCTGATGTTATCTATCCTCTGTGATTAAGCTTTGATATTCATCTTTTCTCCTTAGCCTCTCCTCATATAAACCATCTAATATTAATCATAGGGATATTCAGAAAATTTGACAATACACAAGATCCATACAATGTATTATTTTCATCAATTTGATTAATTCATAGATTCATGATAGAGAAAAATGTGTCACTTTCTAAATTTAAGCTAGATAAACTATTAACAAGGTCCACATGTGTGACATATTATACACATGTAAAACTCATGTCTAGAAAAGCTCAGAAATCATCTTTTTAGAACCTCACCATCAAAATTTAAAGTGTGACAGACCCTGAGGAAGGGTATGATAGAAATCTTATTTTTTCTTAATACCCAAATATATATTAGGACAGCCAGAAGGAAGAAGGGGAACATTTCAGACTGTAAAAAAAAAAAAAAAGAAAACATGATCACATTTTTAACATTTTTAATAATCTAAGTTCATAATAAAATATGTCTTTTTAAAAAAATAGCAGAAAATTATAATTATATCAAAATATCAAAAAGTAAAAAAAGAGAGCCAGAGTGTTTTAGGAAGAGTCACAGAGGAGCTGCCCATGTTCCCATGTTGGAGAAACAACCAGGCCTGTTTTAGTCAAGGTTCTCTGGAGGGACAAAACTAATGGAATATAAATATATATAAAGGGGAGTTTTTTAAGTATTAACTGACATGATCACAAGGTCCCACAATAGGCCATCTGCAGGATCAGGGCAAGGAGAGCCAGTCTAAGTTCCAAAACTGAAGAACTTGGAATCTGATGTTTGAGGACAGGAAGCATTCACCAACACAGGAGAAAGACGTAAGCTAAGAGGATAGGCCCGTCTCTCTTTGCATATTTTTCTGTCTGCTTATATTCTACCCACATTGGCAGCTGATTAGATTGTGCCCACTCAGATTAAGGGTGTGTCTGCCTTTCCCAGCCCACTGACTCAAATGTTAATCTCCTTTGGTAACACCCTCACAAACGCATCCAAGATCAAAACTTTGTATTTTTCAATCAAGTCAAGTTGAGACTCAGTACTAGCCATCATAAGGCACTAAAAAATATGATTCAATACTAAGCACAGCACCATGCAGATTTCTGCATGTGGATATGCAAGATAGCCCTCCTTGCTCCCATAGCCTACTTTAATAGGACCTCTTCTAATTAATTAAATGAAGACATAATATAGTGTATCTCTTTATTTCCAGTGGACAAATAAATTATTAGAACTAATTCCCTGAGGACATATACATTAAATACAAAATGTTACACTGGAATGTAGCTTTCACATGCACTATTGATTTACATTCTGATACGTTCAATTCATGTGTAGTGCTGATAAGACAGCTGTGATTTGATTAGCTTGAAAATTCCCAAGACAAATAATTTGACCATCTTAGTATTATGTAAACTAAATTAGTTTTTCCAATTGTTGAGAAACATCTGAATATTCTTAAATACTATTTTTATCCACAGATTAATTTATAGAATCATTACATAAAACAGAGAGGACATTAAAGACGGCTGATTAGAGGCATTTCCTACTTATTTCTCCACTAAGAAGAACAAAGATAGTGAGTTGATTATCACATTTTGAATAGATCATCCAAGAGAGAAAACTGGAATTCCACAGAGAAATGAAAAGAAACCCCTAAAGCAAAGGCAAGCAAGGCAGCCAGGTAGTCTAGGATTGGCTGGGAGCCAGGAGAGACTCCTTAATGTGTGGAAATGGTAAGTAAGAGACAGAACAGTCCACTGTTCCCACCAAGAACTTATGTAGTCCTAGCCACAGAAAAGCCCCTTTACCTTCGTGGGCCCCAAGAATAACAGGGAGGTTCCTGGAGACTGTGTAAAGGCATTGTTTGTTAGAGAGTAAGTACCCATGTTGTGTTCCATCAACTACTGAGTCCTAAGCGGCAGCATAGCACCATTTTAGGAGCTTAGCCCACAGTGGACTGCATCCTGTTCTGCAACTAAGGTGAAGTTAGCCACAGCCAGCAATCCCACCCACCCCTGCAGAGAAGTGAGCATCCCCATACTCACGCACTCCAAGTTCCAATACAACCACCTTGACTGTGGATTAGTGTGGGCTAAGACATAAGCAATGACTGCATCATCTAGCAGCCTGCATACAAGTGCTCCCAAGGACAAAAATCCTGCCCTCCCTGGTAGCAGGGCCATAGTAGAGCTGCTGCTTCATTCTCATGAGAATTCTGCTGGTGGCCTGGGGCTCACCTCACACCTACATACCACAGCCAGCCTTTATACAAGCCACCTAAGGATCAAAGGGCACAGCTTGAAATAGCTCCACACAACCATTACCCCAGCACACTATCCAGAGGACTAGGGATTGTTCAGCCCAGTCCACCACCAGTGATACTTTAATACTCTTCCCAGGTTCTCAGGTCAAGTGGACTCACTCAACTTTCCACTAGCATCCAATATCATATGCCACCTGCATAACTGAGAAATGGTCCATTAAACACATCACAGTCACTGCAAACACCAGTGAAGACCATTTGGTTTCTAGGAGGTTGTCTCACCACAGCTACACTCATTGCCTATGTCATAAACACTGGCCAGCTACTTGAGAACCTGCACATCCACCTGGCCCCTGCTGCCATTCCCAATACTCAAGAAAGTCACCTGGATGCACAAGATTGGACTACCTGGATGCACTAACACCAGTGCCAGTGTACACTGCCCTGGAACCCAAGGCAGCCCATTGTTATCACCACTGGGACCCAAAAGCTGACCAATCTGGTAACCCAGTGCCTATCAAAACTTCACCACAGCTTCCACTAACACTGTATCCTAAGTCACTCACTGAAGAAATCTCAGAACCACTAACAGTGCTTATAGCAAAAGAAATAAAACAGAGACTACATTACTACATGCACCAGGCATCAAAGACAGAGTTCCCTACCCAACTAACAGAATGGATACAACTTCAGGAAAACAAAACACCTAGGAAAGCAAAACCCTGAAATTTAAAAAAAGTATCTGTAACATTACATCTGCAGATATCAATGCAAGCACATAGGGAATATTTAAAAAGCAATGAAATAAGACACCTCCAAAAGAACACAATAATTCTCCAGCAAACAGAACTCAACAAAAAATTCACAAAATCCCAAATAAAAATTCAAACTGTTGATACTAAAGACAACCAGTGAGATACAAGAAAATTCTTAAAAAAATACAAAAATTCAGAAAAATAATTTAGGATATGAACAAAAATTTACCAAAGATATTGAAATTATAAGAAAGAAACAATTTTAGAACTGAAGAATTCACTGAGTGAAATACAAAATACATTTGAAAGTTTCAAAAATAAACCAGATCAAGAAGAAGAAAGACTAAACTTAATGGAAGATCTTTTAAAATAACCCAATCAGAAAAAGAAATAAATTAGCAAAGTTTTCAGGTCACATGGGACACCATAAAACAATCAAGTTGTGAATTGTTATTTTCCTAGAAGGCAACAATAGTACAAAACGTTTAGAAAACCTATTTAATGAAAGAACAGATACAATCTTCCCAAGCATAGCAAGACATCTGTACATCCAATACAGGAGGAGCAGAAACATCCAAAATAATATGTTGCAAAAAGATATTTTCCATATCATGTTATAGTCAAACTATCTAAATGCAATTACAAAGAGAGAATTCTAAAAAGAACAAGAAAAAACTGTTTAGTCACCTATAAATAAACCCCCGCCAGAATAACAGTGTATTTCTCAGAAATTACCTTATAGGCCAGGAGAAAATTCAATGGCATATTCACAAGGCTGAAAGAAAGAAAAAAGGCTTTACTCAAGAATACTATGCCTAAGCAAAATTATCCTTCATAAATGAAAGAAAAATAGTCTTTCCCAGACAAACAAAAGCTGATGGATTTATGACCACTAAACTAGACCTACCAGATGAGTTAAAGGGAGTCCTATACTAGGAAGCAAAAAGGCAACATTCCTTATCGTGAAAACACAAAAAACTACAAAAGTCATTGGTAGAGCAATCACACAAAGGAGAAAGAGAAACAAATCAAATAATATCACCACAAAAGAAAGAAAAAAACACCAAAACCACCATGACAAACAATAAGAGAAAAAGAAAAGAGCAAAAAACAGAAAATTATTAACAATTTAACAGAAACAAAACATCACATATCAATATTAATCTTTAGCATAAATGGATTAAATTATTTACTTAAAAGAGATACACTGGCTGGCTGGATTAAAAAAAAAAGAAGAAGAAAAAGCATTTGATAAAATTCAACATCACTTCAAGTTATAAACTGTCAGGTGGCTGGCAAGGTGGCTGAATAGGAACATCTCCAGTCTGCAGTTCCCAGAAAGATCAATGCAGAAGGTGGGTGATTTCTGCATTTCCAACTGAGGTACCTGGCTCATCTCACTGTGACTGGTTAGACAGTGGGTACAGCACACAAAGAACAAGTTGAAGCAGGGTGGGGTGTTGCCTCACCTGGGAAGCACAAGGGGGAGGGAACTCCCTCCCTTAGCCAAGGGAAGCTATGAGGAACTGGGCCCTGAGGAATGGTGCACTCTGGCCTAGATACTACGCTTTTCCCATGGTCTTCACAATTTGAATACCAGGAGATTTCCTCAGGTGCCTACACTACCAGGGCCCTGGGTTTCAAGCACAAAACTGAGTGGCTGTTTGCACAGACACTGAGCTGGCTGCAGGAGTTTTGTTTTCATACCCCAGTGGTGCCTGGAATGCCAGCAAGACAGAACCATTCACTCTCCCTGGAAAGCGAGTTGAAGCCAGGGAGCCAAGTGGTCTAGCACAGCAGATCCCACCTCCATAGTCTCCAGCAAGCTAAGATCCACTTACTTGAAATTCTTGCTGCCAGCACAGCAGTCTAAAGTCAACCTGGGATGCCAGAGCTTAGTGGGGGGAGGGGCGTTTGCCATTACTGAGGCTTGAGTAGGTAGTTTTCCCTCACAGTGTAAACAAAGCTTCCAGGAAGTTCAATCTGGGCAGACCCCCCACCACAGTTTGGCAAAGCTGTTATAGACCAACTGCCTCTCTAGATTCCTTCTCTGTGGTCAAGGCATCTCTGAAAAAAAGGCAGCATCCCCAGTCAAGGGCTTATAGATAAAATTCTCATCTCCCTGGGACAGAACACCTTGGGGAAGAGGCAGCTGTGGGTGCAGCTTCAGCAGACTTAAATATTCCTGCCTGCCAGCTCTGAAGAGAGCAGCAGATCTTCCAACATAGTGCTCAAGCTCTGCTAAGGAATGGACTTCCTCCTCAAGTGGGTCCCTGACTCCCATGCCTCCTAATGGGGAGACACCTCCCAGCAGAGGTTGACAGACACCTCATACAAGAGAGCTCTGGCTGACATCTGGCAGGTGCTCCTCTGGGATGAAGCTTCCAGGAGGAAAAACAGACAGTAATCTTTGCTCTTCTTCAGCCTCCACTGGTAATACCTAGGCAAACAGGGTCTGGAGTAGACCTCCAGCAAAATCCAGCAAAGCCATAGCAGAAGGGCCTGTTACAAGGAAAACTAACAAACAGAAAGGAATAGGATCAACATCAACAAAAAGGACATCCACACAAAAACCCCATTTGAAGGTCACCAACATCAAAGACCAAAGGTAGATAAATCCATGAAGGTGAGGAAAAACCAGTGCAAAAGGCTGAAAATTCCAAAAACCAGAATGCTTCTTCTCCTCCAAAGGATCACAACTCCTCACGAACAAGGGAAGAAAACTGGACAGAGAATTAGTTTGACAAATTGACAGAAGTAGGCTTCACACGGTGGGTAATAATAAACTCCTCTGGGCTAAAGGAGAATATTTTAACCCAGTGCAAGGAAGCTAAGGACCTTGAAAAAAGGCTAGAGGAATTGCTAACTAAAATAACTAGTTTAGAGAAGAATATAAATGACCTGATGGAGCTAAAAAACACAGCACAAGAACTTCATGAGGCATACACAAGTATCAATAGCCAAACCAATCAAGTGGAAAAAAGGATATCAGAGATTAAAAATCAACTTAATGAAATAAAACATGAAGACAAGATTAGAGAAAAAAAAATGAAAAAGAATGAACAAAGCCTCCAAGAAATATGGGACTATGTGAAAAGACCAAACCTACACTTGATTGGTATACTTGAAAGTGACAGGGAGAATGGGAACAAGTTGGAAAACACTCTTTAGGATATTATCCAGGAGAACTTCCACAACCTAGCAAAACAGGCCAACAGTCAGATAAAGGAAATACAAAGAACACCACAAAGATACTCTTCAAGAGCAACCCCAACACACATAAGATTCACCAAAGTTGAAATGAAGGAAAAATATTAAGGGAAGCCAGAGAAAAAGGTGAGTTTACCCATAAAAGGAAGCCCATCAGATTAACAGTGGATCTCTCTGCAGAAACCCTGCAAGTCAAAAGAAAGTGAAGACCCATAGTCAACATTCTTAACAGGAAGAATTTTCAACACAGAATTTCATATGTAGCCAAATTAAGCTTCTAAGTGAAGGAGAAATAAAATCCTTTACAGACAAGCAAATGCTGAGAAATTTTGTCACCACTGGGCCTGCCTTACAAGAGGCAGGAAGCACTAAATATGGAAAGGAAAAAAACATTACCAGCCATTGCAAAAACATACCATATTGTAAAGACCATTGACACTGTGAAGAAACTGTATCAACTAATGGCAAATTAGACAGCTAGCCTCATAATGACAGGATCAATTTCACACATAACAATATTAACCTTAAATGTAAATGGGCTAAATGCCTGAATTAAAAGACACAGACTGGCAAATTCAATAGAGTCAGGACCCATCAGCATGCTGTATTCAGAGACCCATCTCACGTGCAAAGACATACATAGGTTCAAAATAAAGGGATGGAGGAATAGTTACCAAGCAAATGGAAGGCAAAAAAAGCAGAGGTTGCAATCCTAGTCTCTGATAAAACATACTTTACACTAACAAATATCAAAAAAGACAAAGAAGGGCATAACATAAAGGTAAAAGGATTAATGCAACAAGAAGAGCTAACTATCCTAAATATACATACACCAAATGGAGGAGCACCCAGATTCATAAACCAAGTTCTTAGAGACCTACAAAGACTCCCACACAATAATAATGGGAGACTTCAACACCCCTCTGTCAATATCAGACAGATCAATGAGACAGAAAATTAACAAGGATATACAGGACTTGAATTCAGCTCTGGATCAAGTGGACCTAATAGACATCTACAGAACACTCCACCCCCAATCAACAGAATACACATTCTTTTCAGAACCACACTGCACTTGTTCTAAAATTGACTACATAATTGGAAGTAAAACACTCCTCAGCAAGTGTAATGAAAAGGAAATTATAACAAATAGTCTCTCAGACCACAGTGCACCCAAATTAGAACTCAGGAATTAAGAAACTCATTCAAAACCATACAACAACATGGAAACTAAACAACCTGTTCCTGAATGACTAGTGGGTAAATAACAATATTAAGGCAGAAATAAGTAAGTAATTTAAAACGAATATGAACAAAGACACAACATAGCAGAATTTCTAGGACTCAGCTAAAGCAGTGTGTAGAGGGAAATTTATAGCACTAAATGCCCACAGGAGAAAGTGGGAAAGACCTAAAATTGACACCCTAATATCACAATTAAAAGAACTAGACAAGCAAGAGCAGAAAAATTCAACAGCTAGCAGAAGACAAGAAATAACTAAGATCAGAGCAGAACTGGAGGAGATAGGGACATGAAAAACCCTTCAAAATATCAATGAATCCAGGAGCTGATTTTTGGAAAAGGTTAACAAAATAGATAGACCACTAGCCAGACTAATAAAGGAGAAAAAAGAGAAGAATCAAATAGAGACAATAAAAAATGACAAAGGGGATACCACTGATCCCACAGAAATACAAACTACATCAGAGGATACTATAAACACCTCTACACAAATAAACTAAAAAATCTAGAAGAAAAGGATAAATTCCTGGACACATGTGCCTTCCCAAGAGTAAACTAGGAAGAAGTCAAATCCCTGAATAGAACAATAACAAGTTCTGAAATTGAGGCAGTTATTAAAGCCTACCAACCAACAAAAGCCCAGGACCAAACGGATTCACAGCCGAATTCTACCAGAGGTACAAAGTTGAGCTTGTACCATTCTTTCTGAAACTATTCCAAACAGCAAAAATCCTCCCTAACTCATTTTATGAGGCCAGCATCATCCTGACACCAAAACCTGGCAAAGACAACAAAAAATAAAATTTTAGGCCAATATCTCTGATGAAGATCAATGTGAAAATCTTCAATAAAATATTGGCAAACCAAATCCAGAAGCACATCAAAAAGCTTATCCACCATGACTAAGTCAGCTTCATCCCTGGGATGCAAGGCTGGTTCAACAGAGGCAAATCAATAAATGTAATCCATCATATAAACAGAACCAATAACAAAAACCACATGATTATCTCAATAGATGCAGAAAAGGCTTTTGGTAAAATTCAACACCCCTTCATGCTAAAAACCCTCAATCAACGAGTTGATGGAACATATCTCAAAATAATAAGAGCTATTTATGACAAACCCACAGCCAAGATCATACTGAATGAGCAGAATCTGGAAGCATTCCCTTTGAAAACCAACACAAGACAGGGATGCCCTTTCTCACCACTCCCATGCAACATAGCATTGGAAGTTCTGGCCAGGGCAATCAGACAAGAGAAAAAAATAAAGGGTATTCATATAGGAAGAGAGGAAGTCAAATTGTCTCTGTTTGCAGATGACATGATTATATATTTTAGAAAATGCCATCATCTCAGCCAAAAATCTCCTTAAGCTGATAAGCAACTTCAGCAAAGTCTCGGGATACAAAATCAACGTACAAAAATCACAAGCATTCTTATACACCAATAGCAGACAAACAGAGAGCCTAATCACAAGTGAACACCCATTCACAATTGCTACAAAGATAATAAAATACCTAGGAATACAGCTTACAAGGGATGTGAAGAACCTCTTCAATGAGAACTACAAACCACTGCTTAAGGAAATAAGAGAGGACACAAGCAAATAGAGAAACATTCCATGCTCATGGATAGGAAGAATCAATATCATGAAAATGGCAATACTGCCCAAAGGAATTTAGAGATTCAGTGCTAACCCCATCAAGCTACCATTGACTTTCTTCACAGAATTAGAAAAACCTGCTTTAAATTTCATATGGAACAAAAGAAAAAGCCCATATAGCCAAGACAATCCTAAGCAAAAAGAACAAAGCTGGAGGCATCACACTACTTGACTTCCAACTATACTACAAATCTACAGTAACCAAAACAGCATGGTACTGGTACCAAAACAGATACATAGACCAATGGAACAGAACAGAGGCCTCAGAAATAATGCCACACATCTACAACTATCCAGTCTTTGACAAAACTGACAAAAACATGCAATGTGGAAAGGATTCCATATTTAATAAATGGTGTTGGGAAAACTGGCTAGCCATATGCAGAAAGCTGAAACTGGACCCCTTTTCTTATACCTTATACAAAAATTAACTCAAGATGGATTAAAGACTTAAATGTAAGACCTAAACCCCTAAAAAGTCTAGAAGAAAACCTAGGCAATACCATTCAGGACACAGACATGGGCAAAGACTTCATGACTAAAACACCATAAGCAATGGCAACAAAAGCCAAATTTGACACACGGGATCTAATTAAACTAAAGAGCCTCTGTGAAGCAAAAGAAAGTATTATCAGAGTGAACAGGCAACTTACAGAATGGGAGAAAATTTTTGCAATCTATTCATCTGACAATGAGATAATATCCAGAATCTACAGGGAACTTAAACAAATTTCCAAGAAAAAAAACACACTATCCCAGCAAAAAGTGAGTTTAGGATATGAACAGACACTTCTCAAAGAAAGACATTTATGGGGCCATCAAACATATGAAAAAAAGCTCATCATCACTGGTCCTTGGAGAAGTGCAAATCAAAACCACACTGAGATACCATCTCACACCAGTTAGAATACGGATCAATAAAACGTCAGGTGTTGGGAGAAGGTCTTTACATTTGTGTGATAGAGTGTATGTTGTTTGCTGAGAGGCAATGGCAAGGGTACACCGAGCCATCTCCAGGCAGAAAACTGATAGAATAGTAAGAAATATGTGCCGGTGATGCACTAGTTAAACCTGTTCTGAAAATGCAGAATATATGACTTGTCCCCATTGCTGACTCACAAAGAGTGCTTTCTAGCTTATTTCTACTTTAGTAGTGAACAGGCACTATCTGCCTGTTTAGTCTATCTTCAGTCTATGAAGAAACACTGAGCGCCTGCTTATTAAAAATAATCAGTTGGTCACAAAGAATAAATATGTGGGTCAGAGTCTGCTCTGGTCTTTCAGCTGGGAAATGCTGTCAGTCCCCTGTCATCCCAATTCCGTTTCCCACTTTTGCACTCTACCTTTGTGTCTGTTTCTTAATTCCTTCAGTCTGCCTGGATTAGGGTCTCCACGACCAAGCTGGTCTCAGCAGTCAGGAAACAACAAATGCTGGATAGGATGTGGAGAAACACTTTTACCCTGTTGGTGGGAGTGTAAATTAGTTCAACCATTGTGGAAGACAGTATGGCATTTCCTCAAGGATCTAGAACCAGAAACACCATTTGAACAAGCAATCCCATTAGTGGGCATATACCCAAAGAATTATAAATTATTCTGCTATAAAGATACAGGCACTCTTATGTTTTTTGCAGTACTGTTCACAATAGCAAAGACTTGGAACCGATTCAAATGCTCATCAGTGACAGACTGGTTAAAGAAAATTTGGCACATATACACCATGATATACCAAGCAGCCATAAAAAGGATGAGTTCATGTCCTCTGCAGGGACATGGATGGAGCTGAAAACTATCATTCTCAGCAAACTAACACAAGAACAGAAACCAAACACTGCATGTTCTCACTTGTAAGAAAGAGTTAAACAATAAGAACACGTGGACATAGGAAGGGGAACATCAGATACTGGGGCCTGTCAGGGAGTGGGGGGGCTAGGGAAGGAATAGCATTAGGATAAATACCTAATATAGATGACAGGTTTATGGGGGCAGTAAGCCACTATGGCACATGTATGTCTCTGTAAAAACCTGCAAGTTCTGCACATATATACCAGAACTTAAAATATAATAAAAAAGAAAGAAAACGGACACAAAAAAAGTAAGAAAGAACTGTCAACAAACTAGACATAGAAGCAATACACCTCAAAATAATAAAAACTATACATGACCAACTGACAGGTAATATCATAGTAAATGGGAAAAAGTTGAAAGTCTTTGCCTTAAGCATGGGAATAAGATAAGAATGCTCATTTTTACCACTGTTATTCAACATAGTACTGGAAGTCCTAGTGAGAGCAGTCAGACAAGAGAAATAGATAAACGGCATCAAAATTGGAAAAGACAAAGTTGAATGTTTCTTCTTTACAGATGACATAATCTTATATTTAGAAGAACCAAAATATTGTTTCAAAAATTGTTTAGAACTGACAAAAATTCAGTAAAGTTTCAGGATACAAAATCAGCAAATAAAGATCAGTAGTGTTTCTATATACCTATAATGAAATAGCTAAAAAGAGATTAAAAAATACAAATTTATTTACAATTGACATATACAATAAACCTAAATCAACCAAGGAAGTTAAATATCTCTACAAAGAAAACTACAGAATACCAAGGAAAGAAATTAAAGCTGACACAAACAAATGGAAAGACATATGCTCATGGATCCAACAAATTCAGTAAAGTTTTCGGATACAAAATCAACATGAAAATCAGTAGCGTTTCTATATACCTAAATGAAATAGCTAAAAAGAGAATCAAAAAGAAAAACCTATTTACAATAACAATGTGCAATAAAAATTAATTTAAGGAAATTAAATATCTCTATACAGAAAATTACAAAGCACCACAGATCAGAAAAATTAAAATCATTAAAATTACCATAACGTCCAAAGAAATCTACAGATATAGTACAATATTTGTCAAAATATCAATACCCTTTTTTAGAGAAATAGAACAATTCTAAAATTTGTATGAAACCAACAAACAAAAAAGCCTGCATAGTCAATGCAATCCTGTGTAGATAGAAGAAAGCTAGAAGCATTACAAGACCTGACTTCAAAATATACCACAAAGCTGTAGTATCCAAATATGTAGCACGGTACTAGCATAAAAATAGACACATAGACCAAAGGAAGTAAATAGAGAACCCAGAAATGCATCCACATACCTACTACCAACTAATCTTTGAGAAAATTGCAAAGACCATATAATGGGGAAAGCACATTCTCTTCAATAAATGGTTCTGGGGAAACTGTGTAACAATACACAGAAGAATGAAATTGGACCTCCATCTATTATCATATACAAAAATCAACTCAAGATAAATTAAATATCCTAAATGTAAGATCCAAAACTATGAAATTACAGAATAAATTATAGGGAATATTTTTCAGGACATAGTTGGTCGAGGCAAAGATTTGATGGCTAACACCTCAAAAGCAGAGGCAACAAAAACAAAAATTGAAAAGTGGGACTGTATTAGACTAAAAAGCTCTGCACAGCAAAAGGAAGAGACAACAGAGTTAAAGGACAATTGCTTGAGAGGGAGGAATATTTGCAAACCCCTCATCCAACATGGAACTAATATCCAGTACAAACTCTTACAGGAAACTAAAAAGAAAACAAATCTTCCTGAAAAATAGGAAAAGGACAGGAATGGCCATTTCTGAAAA